GACCTACGTGCTTCGGGGCGGGGGGGCCTAAACTCTATGACTATGTTGTGGTCTCTGGAGGACTGGCTAAAGCGGTTCAGGCTGCCTCGGTGAATGACTCGGGGGCCTGTTTTGTTCCGCATGTCCCTGTCCGTGTTCAGTTTTTTGTTTTAGCCAACCTGCATACGTTGTCTTTCAGGAAACCCCTCCGATTGCCGCGGATTCCCCTTTCGGTCCTTCGCCCCAACCTCTGGACTACAGTAAGGTTGTTTCGCTGATGGACAAGGCTCGAGTTCGGGCCTCGAGGGGAGATTCCGACGTTTTTGTTTCGATGTTGGCTACGTGCTACAAGGTTGCGGCCAACACTGCGGAGCGGAAGCTCTGCAGAGTGATGGGTTGTAGCATATCTTACTTTGGGGCCCTCTGGTGGCGCCCCGTTCTAGGGCGGGACCTGGGGGGGGCCCGTTACCCTGAGCTCCACGTTATGAGATGGTTAAACTCTTCTTTCCACCGCCTGGCGATGCACATTAGGTCGGCCCACACGGGCAAGGAGGCTCGCGCTCTGGCCGAAGCCCTGCGCAGTCCCCCCCCCCTGGTCAGAGACAATCGCGGTGACCAAGTGGTCCTGTTTGACAGCGTGGCCGGCGTCGCTCGGGCCCGGCTGGACGGGACCTCCGCGGACGATCTGGGTCGAGAAATGGATGCCATCGGTGCTAGGATCCAGGAGGCCCTCGAGGCGACCAACACGAAGTTCATCTCTCGGGCTAGAAAGGACTGGGCCGCCTGGCTCTCGGAGGGCATCAATCAGGGTGCCAGAAGAGCCCATCAGGTTTCCAAGGACCCCGCGGCTAGGAGGCCGACGAGCACGCTGAGTAGGTTCGGTTCTTTGGTCGCGGACCCCACGGAGCTCCTGTACGCGGAAAGGACCAGGTTTGGGAAACTGTGGCACGCCAGCTCCCAGGCTCCCAAGATTAGGCTTCGCTCCCAGTATCCGCTTCCTGGCATCCCAGTCGAGACGACCAGAGAGATCTCGAAGTTTCTCGCGTAGGTCTGCTGTCGGTCTGGACGGCTTCCACATGAGGCACTACCAGTTCCTGGGCGATGATGCCCTTCGTTGTTTTTCGGGGCTCTGGACCTTGGTGGAGCTGTCTGGGGGGGGGTGCTTCCTAGTCAACTTCGGGCCCTCATTGTGGCCCTGATTCCGAAGGCGGTCCCTGGGTTTCGCCCCATCGGGGTCTTCTCTAGCCCCTACCGTCTGTGGGGGAGGGCTCGCCGCCGGATCGCGGTGTCCTGGGAGGCCCAGAAAGATCGGCCCCACTGGGCTGCGGGAAAGCACCGCTCGGCGACAGACGCGGTCTGGAGGAAGGCCATGCGAGCTGAGACCAGTACGGCAAGAGGCCGCCACGCAGGGGCAGTTTTTTGGGGATATGCTGAAGTACTACGAGCAGATTCCCTTAACGCTGCTCGAGCAGCGTAGCCTCAGGCTTAAGTTCGATCCTGTTGCGTTGTCGGTGTGCTTGTCGGCGTACCGATCGGCTAGATGCATGGTCTTGTGCGGGGTGGTTTCCCCTTCCCAGTACGCGTCCTTCGGTGTTGTCGCGGGTTGCTCGATGGCGACTACTCTGATCAAAGCTCACGGGATGGAGGCTTTTGATTCCGTTCCGATCGCCCCCAACACTACGCTCGACATTTACATCGATGACACGGCTTTGCATTCGGTTGGTTCGGCCGACTCTGTGGTCGAGGGTTTAAAGGAGTCATCTGCTGCCTTCGAGGCGGCGATCACTCGCATGATGAGGGCCCAAATCCCCATGGACAAAGTGGCTTGTGTCGCCTCTTCCAGGGTCATCTCCCTTCGGCTGGAAGAGGCTGTCGGGCCTCTGGTGGGCCCCCCCCTCGAAACCACGGCGAACCTGGGGATTGACTTTACGGCAGGGACCTCGAGGCGCGCTCGTGGCCGCAATGCTAAGGCGAAGGCCCGCTTGTCGAACGCAGCCAGGCGTACCAGGAGGCTACTGAAGCTTAGGGGCGTACTTGGACGTAGGGCAGCTAAGGCGTTCGTTTCGGGCCCCCTGGCGGGCCTGCAGTACGGCTCGGATTTGCACGGCATGATTGACGGAGAGTTGGCGCCAGCACGTAAAATGTTTGCCTCTACGTTGAAGCCGTCGGTTGGAGGTCGCAGCTCGACGATTTTGATTCGATTGGAATCGGACCCTGCTTGGTACGGCTCGGTGGCGCCTATTGTTAGATACGTGCGTGAGTTGTGGCTTCTGCAGACGCATGCGCCCCCATGGGGGCTTACGTGGGCTGAGCCGCGGCCCCCTCGGGGGGGGGGGGGGGGCACCTGGAGTCCCCCCCCCCCCCCCCAAAAAAAAAAAAAAAAAAAAAAACGTGGAGGTCGGTTGAGGGACCGATGGGAGCTATGCATCTGTCTCTGGCCAGATTGGGTTGGACAATGCCCGACTCTTACACCTGCACGGACGATATTGGAAGAAGTATTCCTCTCATTGTCTCCTCCCCCGCCCTTTTAAAGAGGTGGTTAAAAGATTATGCCTTTCGTTGCTTGGAGTTTGATGCTGGAGCGAAGTACGGCGACGGTGATCGGCTGTGCTTTGACTTGGTCCCCAGGGCCTTGGTTTCCAAGAAAGTCTCCCCCAAGCAGAAGGGCGCCATTAGAGCCCTCACGTGCCAGGCCTTGTGGCCTATGGCTCGGGCTGCGGAGAAGGGCTACATTGTGCCCGACGCGCGCCCCCTGTGCTCTAGGAGTGGAGACACGGTGCTCCACAGACTGCGGTTTTGTGAGGCTTGCGAAGACAAAAGGCAGGCTGCTGTCGATCCCGAGCTTATCGATCGCATCCGTGGTGACCTGGGAGCGAACTCGACCCCGTCATTTCGTTTCTTGCGTGAGTCGGGATTCTTCCCCCACCCTTCGAAGGATTTGCCTGGCCCTCTGAGTCACGAAGCCGCCCTGGAGGCGATTATATACGAGTTCTTTCCAGAGGCTTTCGCCGAGGAAGGACTTCCGCCGCCCCCCCCCCCCCCCCCCCAGGGGTCGAGGGAGATCTCGGGCATGATTTTCTTGGATGGCTCGTGCTGTAAGTCGAAGGTCAAGGACCTGTCTAGGACTGGATGGGGTGCTGTGATGATCGGTCCCTCGGGAAAAATGCTCGCTCGGATCTTTGGGCCAGTGAGCAATTTCTTCCCTCAGACGAGCGCGGCCGCCGAGTTCATCGCCCCCGCCACGATCGCCAACCTCATTGGCGGTCCCAGTAGGCTTTTCTCCGACTGTCAGATTGTTGTTAATGGGTTTAACAAGTCGCAGGCCGAGCGCCTCCACCCGAACAGGCCTTTGCGTTCGGTGGGAGGTACTTGGAAGAGCTGGCTAAGGTGAAAGCCCATCAAGAAGACGATCCGCCCCATCCGCTCGAGGATCGCATTTTTATTTGGGGGAACACAGAGGCCGACAGGGCTGCTAAGATGGGAGCTCTGCTCCACCCCCGACTTTCGGAGTCCGAGGAGAGGCGTGTTGCTTATCTCGCGGACGTCGCGCAGGCCACTCTTCGGCTCGCGGCAAATCTTCTCGAGCTCTGGCCCCGTTCAATTGTTGAAGGGGCTGCTCGGGTTGAGGCCCCTCCCCCCTCGGCAAGAGCGGAGGGGCCTCAACATAGTTGGAACTGGGTTGGGCGATTTTGGCAGTGCTTCCATTGTTTAAGGTGCAAGCGCTCCGCATCTAAGCCGCCCCCAGGCCACTGTTCCTTGATTTTGAAAGTGAACCCCGCCAAGTTGCGGGCGCTCGAGCACAGGTGTTTAGTGGTGGATTTCAGCGACGGCAGTTTCACCGCCGTTTGCCAGATCGGCCACGCTTACACGACTGGTGGTAGTGCGCGGCTTCTCGCCAAGCCCTGTGTGGGTAAGCCGCTAGCTAGAAGCGTTGTTTTCAAGAGGCTCGGCAAAGGACTCCACCCTGATTATAAAAGGGTCGGGGTCACTGCCGATCTTGAGGATGTGGCCCCCCTCTGAGGGGCTCTTTGGCCGCGGATGTCAAAAAAATCCTCGCACTCGCAATTTGATCAGGAATCGTGCTCTCGCGTGAGATCTCATCCCAAGTCATTCAGGCGCCGCGCCCTCGACACTCTTTGACCACGCTCTCGCCCGAGACTTCCTGACGATTTACTCAGGACGGTCCCCTCCGCGAGTTATCAAAAAATCGCGCTCTCGCTCGGGATTTCCTCGCAGTTGGCCCAGGAATCGCGACCTCAATCAAGATTTCATCGCGGTTCATTCCGGAATTGAGTGGCCCGCCCGCACGACCCGACCGTTGGGGCCCGCCCGCCCCAACCACCCGCTGGGGCCCGCAGTCGCAAGTCGCTGCCGCTGTCACGCCCCGCCCGCCCGACCCGCCCGTTCGGGTCCGCCCGCACCGCCCTCCCGACCCGCCCTCCTGCTTCGTTTGTGTTCCTGCTCCTCTCGACTTCCCCCCTCCCTGCTAGTCTTCCTCCGCGTTCTTTTCCTTCTGTCCCTTCTCCTCCGTCATGTTGTAGGGACTGCGCCAACTGCACATGGCAGGCAAGGAAGATGTACCCCAAAGGGGGCACGCTCGAAGACGAAGGGGGCGGGTATCGAAAATTCGGGACATGCATGTTGATTGACACGCGTGCAGATGAGAGCGAGCGGTTTTTTTTAACAATTGCTGCTGTTACTGTTGCAAGCCTTTGGCCAGGGTCAGCAACAATTGCTTTTCAGAAATGACAGCTCGACAGACACCAAAAAACAAACAAAGTAACAAACAAGAAACGGGAGGATGGGGCAGAGGCAAAGGCGATAGGAGGGAGGATGGGGCAGAGGCAAAGGCGAGAGGAGGGAGGAGGGGGAGGAGAAGGAGGAGGGGGAGGAGGAGGAGGAGGAGGAGGAGGAGGAGAGGGACGCGGGGCGCTGTCTCTTCAAACGAGGATCCAACACCACAATATGGCTGGGAAAACATACAAACTAACAAAGCGACAAAGAGCCCTGCCCGTCTGCAGGCGACCAGCGACTCGCCGGAGGGCCTGCCGCTGTCTCCCCGCGCAGCGGCTGCGGACGCCAGCCAGCAGGCCGCGCCCCGGCGGGAGGGCACCATGCCGCCCTGCTGGCGGCACAGCCGCCTTGGGGCTTGGCATCGCTCGGGCGTGTGCATTGTTCCCTCGGCGGAGATCATCGAGGAGCATATTGCATCCTTTTCGAAGAATAAGCGCACGAGGCCGAAAAGGGCACGGGGCATGGACGCCGGAGCGATGGCAAGGGTGAAAAGCTGCATCAGATAGACCCCAGGAGAGGTCTGGGGATTCCGTTTGAGCGGATTTGGCTTCATCCCCCCTCCTGGCCGACTCCCTCGGGCCCATCCGGCTCAGACTCCCCAGCCGCGTCAAACGTCCGCGTCGTGAAGCATCTGTTTCGTCGCAGACCCTGCGGGCGCGCAGGACGGTCGGGCCGCACGGGGGCGGCTGTGCAGCAAATTGTGCACTGCAGGAGATGGAACAAATATTTGGGCGGCGGCCGTAACAGGGGAGCGCGGCCCCCTCCTCCTCCTCCTCCGCCTCCTCCTCCTCCTCCTCCTCCTCCTCCTCCTCCTCCTCCTCTTCCTCCTCTTCCTCCTTCTCCTCCTCCTCTCCTCCTCCTCCTCCTCCTCCTCCTCCTCCCTCTCCTCCTCCTCCTCCTCCTCCTCCTCCTCCTCCTCCTCCTCCTCCTCCTCCTCCTCCTGCAAGCGCCGCGGCGAGTCTATCACACGCCCGACACACACCCTGAGCATGTAGCCGAACGCCAGGACAAGGAAGAGCCGCGCGACGACCTGGTAGAGCAACGCGAGCACCAGCAGCCGCCCGGCTAGGCCGCTGCGGCGGCCCGCAGTTCAGCTGCCCGCCCGGCGCAGTCCGCGCCCAGGGCGGAGCGCAGGGGCTGTGGCCCGGTGGAGAGCTACGCTGAGCTCCCGTCCCTACCGGGCCACCAGCTGTCCGGCCAGGGCCTCCGCCTCGGCCCCGTCGCCTGCCGCCAGCAGCGCCGCCTGCTCCCGGGCGAGGCCGCGGAGGTGCTTGAGGGCCGCCTGGCCGTGCCGGCCGGCGGTCTCCTGTGCCAGGGGCACCATCCGCCAGGGCGCCTGCCTCGCCGGGTAGCGGCGGTGCTTGTCCGCCTCCGCGGCGGCGTTCACGGCGCCGTCGCGGCCAGCGGCGGCCCGCAGGGCGTACGCTACCGGACCTTGACGTCGAAGAAGGTGCGCGGCTGCCCGGGCCGCTGCACCTCGAGGTCGAGGATGGCCTCCTCGCGCCCAGCAGCCAGGGCGTGGCCGCAGCTGCAGGTGTCGCCTGGCCGCGCCGCCGCGGCCCCGCGGGCGTCGCACCCGGCGCAGCGCCAAGCCCAGCGGTCCCAGGCCGGGGCGTGGACCTGGCGGGAGGCGAGGTGGCCGCACTCCGCGTGGATGTGCTGCCAAGCTCGCTCCAGGTCGCTGCTGCGCGCCTTCAGGCCCCCGCCCCGGGAGCAGCGCCAAGCGTGGCGGGCCTTCCTGCAGAGCGCCTCGCCGCAGCGCTGGCCTGCCCGCTCGCCCCTTCTGGTGCGGTTGCAGCAGGTCGCCCCAGGCGGCGCCGCGTCCTGCCCGAGGAGGGCGCGGGCGGTGGCCCTGTAGTCCGCGTCGTCCAGTCGCTCGCGGGGCTGCCCGGGCGAGGCTGTCTGCCACCCGGAGGCGTGAGGCCCGCTGCAAGAGCGCAGGAGCGCCCTTTCCTCCAGCTCCAGAGCCCTCAGCAAGGAAGTCTGATTTTTGTGGTCAATCCTTGCGGTGAGGGTTTCTGAAGCACTCGGGCAGGCGTCGCGGCCAGCTCTTGCCAGGTGGGCAGCTCGGCCGGCTCCGAGCCGGGGCGAGGCGGCGGCGGCGCCAGCTGCGCGAGCCCGGCCAGCGCGTCGCGGCAAGCGCCCGCGAGCGGGAACCCGCTGGTCTCCAGGTCAGCCAGGCAGGCGAGGCCGGTGCGCTCCCCAACCCCGCTCAGGCTCTGTGCCCAGGAAGCGGCCCAAGCTGCCGGCGCCAGCTGCTGTTGGCTGCGAAGGCCGCGCCCGCCGGTCCGCAGGGGCAGCTGGCACTGCGCCCGCTGTGGTGCCGTCAGCGGGTCGAGCTCCGCGTGCTCCTCGTAGGCCGCAAGCAGGGCCTCGTCGTAGGCCGCGGCCGCGGCCTCCGAGGCAGCCGGTGGGTTCGTGCGCAGCAAGTGTGTCAGTTTGCTGGCCCCGCAGTGCCGCAGTAGGAGGCCCGCGGTCTGCGCCGCCGGCAAGTGCGGCGAGGCCGTAGTCGGGAGGGCCGCGAGCTTGGCGAGGAGCTCCGCCGCCCGCCCCGCCGTCTCCGCGCAGCGCGCCTTCGCGTAGTCCGCCGAGCCCAGGTCGACGCGGCGCCCGTCGCTTTCGTCGGGCAAGCCCCCCGCGGGCAGAGGGGCCCCGAGCGGCACGCCCACAAGGGTCAGGCCCTCCGCGCGCCATTGGTCCTCCATGCCAGGAGGGCAGGCCGCGCCCGCGGACCAGGCCTGTGTTTTTCGCGGCTCCTGCGCCAAGCCGAAGTCAGCCAGAGCCGTCTGCGCCGCCGCCTGCACGTCGCCCGCGAGCGCCGCCGGCGCCAGCACGACGACGTCGTCCAAGTAGGCGAGGACGCGCACGGCGCCGGGGTCCAGCCCCCTCCGCTCCGCGGCCGCTCGCAGGGCTTGCTCCAGGGCGCGCAGGCGGGGCCGCATCCCGCAGGCAAAGAGCAGCGGCGCCAGCGGGTCTCCCTGGTCCACCCCGCCAGTTGCACGCAAGCGGTGGCAGACGCCCGCCGCGTCCCAGAAGTAGTATTGGGACTCCCGGCGGCAGAAGAGGTTTGCGTAGGGCAGCGGCAGCAGCTCAGGTGCTGCTGCCTCCAGCTCCCGCAGGCAGGCCTCCCTGTTGGCGGGGCAGTACGCGTTCTTGGCGTCGAGCGCGATCACCACCAAGCTGGGGTCTGTTTCCGCCAGCGCCCGCACCGTGTGCGCCAAGAGCTCTGTGCCCGCAGCCGTGCCCACAGCGAACTGCTGCCTCCCCAGCGCCTCAGCCAGCTCGTGCTTGCGGGGCGTCACCAGCGCCCGGCCCACCAGCCGCCGCAAAATGTTCGGCGCGGCGATGGGCCGAACCCCGCCGCCTGGCTTGCGCAGCGGCGTGAGCTTTGCGAGTGCCAGTGCCGCCGCGGTGCTCTCGGGCACCCGTCCCTCTGCGATCCTGTCGCAGACTCTGCAGAAGGCGGCCAGCGCGGTGGGCTCGGCGAGCACGACCCGCCAGTGCTCGAAGCGCCCGCCGCCAGCGGCGGCCCCGCTGCCCCGGGGGCTCCTCTTTAGCGCCTTCTTCAGGGCCCCGTAGGAAAGCGGCGGTGGCCCGGCAGGCGGCGCCGCCGCAGGTGGCAGTGCGGCGGCGGGGCGCGGCTGGAGGAGCACTTGGAGCTGATCCGCTGTTTCGGCGGTGAGCGGAGCGAGGCCTGGGCTGGAGAGCAGGGCGGCAGCTCGGCCGTACTCCTCGGCCATGGCTTTCCGCACCACCTCGTCTGCTAGGGAGCGCTCGTCCCGGACGGTGCCGCCCGCCCGCCGGCGCGCCTTGGCCAGAGCTCGGGCCGCGCCTCTGGACGTCGCCAGGAGCTCTTCCCAGCCGCCCCGGAGCAGCGAGGAGCAGCGCTCGCGCACGAGCTGCGCGCGGTCCAAAGTCTCCGCTTCTGTGCGGCGCCGCCGGCTGTTCGCCCCGAGCCGGAGGGGGGCGGCGAAGAGCAGGCGCTCCCGCAGCGCGAGGAGTTTCCAGGCTCGCTCCGCCTCCACGCTCCCAGCCGGAGCCTGGAGGAGCGCGTTGCAGAGCTCCTCGGTCGCCTGCGCGGCCGCTGCCCGGGCCCGCCCGGGGACGACCCGCAGCGTGGGGCAGTCCAGCGCGAACTCCTCCAAGAGGTCGCAGTCGTCGAGCCCCGGCCAGCAGGCGGCCGCGAGGTCCTGGAGGGCGAAAGCAGCAGGGGCCGCGCCTGCCGCTAGCGCGTCTTCCGGCGGGGGCTGCGCCACCGGGCCTCCGGGGGCTGGGCCAGCAGCAGGCGCGTGTGCAAGAGCGCTCGCCGCCGCAGCCTCTGGGGGGGCCGGCGCGGCCGGCGGAGGAGCGTCCAGCGCGCAGCGCCAGCAGAAGAGGGAGTCGCAGCCGGGGCAGTAGTGCAGCCAGCCGCCGGCTCCGGCTCCGTCGCACAATGCGCACCGCTCCCCTTGCTCAGCTCGGTGGGGTTCCGTGTCTGTCCGGCACGCAGGGCACGTAGGGCCCGGGCGGCGCGCCTCCCCGACGCGGACCCCTGCCCAGCCGCATTGCCAGGTCACCCGGCAATCTGCGCCTCCCAGCGCCGCTGCTGCCGGCAATCTGCGCCTCCCAGCGCCTCCGCGGGCAGCAATCCGCGCCTCCCAGCGCCGCTGCTGGCAATCTGCGCCTCCCAGCGCCTCCGCGAGCAGCAATCCGCGTCTCCCAGCGCCTGCGCGGTCAGCAATCCGCGCCTCCCAGCGCCCGCGCCGCTGGCAAGCCGCGCCTCCCAGCGCCGCCCAGGACCGTCTCGTGCGCCTCCCGCCGGGGCCGCGGCGGCAGCAAGCACCGTGAGCGCTGCGGCATGCTCACTTCCGCCGGCGCGGGCAGGCCCAGTCGGAGCCTCCGGGTCCTGCGGAGGCGCTGGGCGACGGCCAGGAGAGCCCCGGGGTCGTCCTCGGAGGCCTCGTCCAACTGGTCCATCAGCTCCTCCTCGCTCATCTCCTCGTCGCCGTCGTCGTCCTCTTCCTCCTCCCCGTCCTGCTCGGCGCCACCAGCGCCCCGCTGCTGCGCCACCGGCTCCTCCTCGATCGCCTCGTCGAGCTGGGCCGCGGGCGCGCGGGTCTGCACGTCCCCGAGGGCATTGTGGAGGGCAGCCATCTGGGCTGCTATGCGCTCGGGCGGCCTGCCCGTGACGGGGTCCACCAACGCCGTGGTGTTGAGCGCCTCCAGCAGCGCTCGCGCCGGCTGCTCCCACGCCCCGCACGGGGCCGCTGGCGGAGGGTCGTCGCCCGCATTCTCCGCCTGCAGCTCGGCGCGCAGT